AATTTTTTGTTCCATGATCATTGTTCAGACAATATTTAAAATCTAAATTCTACGATTTTGAAATTATTGTATTAAATGTTTGTCTGTATGTCAATATGTCGTGCATCGGCTTCATTATATATTTTATTTTAAGAAGATTTAATAAGATCTAATGAACAGAATGTTAATTTTAATGTTATTTCTTATAGAATATAGTGGTCAAACCGATGAAATTTTTCTAAAAAATTATCGTTTTTTTTCCAATTTTGTAAATAAAAAAAAATATTTTTTATATGTTATTAATTGTTTGAGATTATTAAAATGATTAAACAATTGTATTTCATGCAGGCTTTTCAATGGTGGTTTTTTTGAAACTATTTTTTTGGTGTTTGTTTTTTTTAGATAACATATTTCATTGTATTTGAAATACATTGAAAAAATAAAAAAAAACATTATTCTTTAAAATAAATCTTATTTATCTTTGATTTCCTATTAAAACTAATGTAGTTTATTATGAGTTCATCAACATAATCAATATGCGGGGTAAGAAATCAATTGGTTGTAATTATTGTGGTGTTTTTTGAATAGGTGTCAAAAGGTCGAAAGTCAAAACGTCGAAAGTCAAAATATCGAAGAGGCAAAACATCGAAGAGGCAAAATATCGAAAAGAAAAACGTCGAATGCCATAATGTCGAAGGAAAAACGTCGAAAACTAAATGTCGAAAGTCAAAAAGTCGAAGAGAAAAATATCGAAAGTACAAAATGTCGAAAAATTTTCTAATCTGTACCAAAGAAAAAAAAATCATTCATATACATACCCTATTCGTTCTCTTACATTACTGTTGATAAATTTCTTCATAAGGGCATATGCATGTATGTAAATTTTTCCTTACTTTCGTCATAGCCTCAACTAGTGTCTTTCTTTTCGCTCATTATTTATTTTTTCTTACTATCCGTCCATATATATCTCTTTCTGACCATATATGTGGAGATTAAATCATTTATCGTATTGTAATACATAAGTATTTATTTTATTCATCTTTTCATGTCAACAAGTATTTCTTTTATCACAAGCAACAAGGGAAAGCCCCTTTTAGTATATGATGGATATCTGTACAAGTTGAATAAAGCAACTGAGAAAGTGAAATATTGGACTTGTCAAGAACGTACGTGTAGTGCTAGTGTTCATACAGATTCTGATGATCAATTTATAAAAAGTAAAGGTAATCATGGTAGTCATTTACCATCACCCGAGGAAATAGAATGGAGAATGTTCAAAAGTGTAGTTAAAAGAAGAATAAAAGAAGAATCAATTGCAATTGGTTTAATATATGATCAAGAACTTGCTCGTGCACATTTTTCTCAAGCTGGTCTAGCAGTTAGTTTATCATCACAAGAAGCTAGTATGTTACATATCTCTGTGGTATTTACTATTATTTTATTTTTTCAAATAGAATCATCACTTAATAAACTTCGTCGTAAAACAACACCTATATTACCTGATTCAAGTGATTTTGATATACCAGATTTATATTCAACAACAATTGATAGTCGGGTGTGGATGTGGGGTGTGGGTGTGGGTGTGGGGTGGGTGGGTGTGGGTGTGGGTGTGGGTGTGGGTGTGGGTGTGGGTGTGGGTGTAGGTGTAGGTGTGGGTGTGGGTGTGGGTGTGGGTGAGTGGGGGTGTGGGTGAGTGTGGGTGTGGGGTATGGGTTAAAAGAAGAACCACACCCACAACCACACCCGCATCCACACCCCACACCCACACCCACATCCACACTCCACACCCACATCCACACCCACACCCTCAAGAACTTAAGTTCGAATATCAATGCATTATTTAAGATTACAATTTTTCAAAATCATAAAGAAATTGATAATTATTTTTCGATTACCTGATTAGATTATTCACAGTTGTCGATTCCATACGTCAGTAATGTGGGAGTAAATCCGCCTTAATCAGTCGATCCTCCTCATAGTAACATTTAAAGCCGCAACAGTGCAGCAGTATTAACAACAACGATACCAATAGCAACAGCAATGTTCTAAATTGTGTATTTATTTATTAATTAAATATTTGTATTTTTATGTACTTATTAATTTATTTATGTATTTATTTTTTGTATATTCCTGTTCATTTTGAGCACAATGTAACTCCTGAAGATGTGCTCAGAAGAGTGCGAAAGCTTGAGAAATATTTTGTAAATTTCCGATAGAAATAAATGTTTTTTTTACAGCAGTTCTCTCCTTTTTTTTTAAAGTAAATTATCATAATTTACATTTATTCGTAAATGTAAATTATGATCATTTACCTTTATTCGTAAATGTGAATTATGATCATTTACATTTATTCGTAAATGTACATTATGATCATTTACATTTAGAAATAAATGTCAATTATGATCATTTACATTTATTTCTAAATGTAAATGATCATAATTTACATTTATAACCCACGAAAAAAAATATCTAGAGAGAACGCGTTTCAATGCGTTTGAATGCATGATTGAAAAACGTACGCGTTTTTCTT